CCCCTCCTGCAGCCCAACCCCCCGCCCCAGTCCAGAGCCCCCTCCTGCACCCTGAACCCCTCATTTCTGGCCCCACCCAGGAACCTAGGGGAAGCCGCCTCCACCCCTGCCCCCTTGCGGGGCTGGAGCAGCGAGCGCTGGCTTGCTCTGCTGTAGGGGGAAACCCCGAGCCTCTGCGCTCCACCGTGGGGCTGTGTGGCCCACGACTGATTTCTTTTCTGTGAGTCAGTGGCCCCTGATAGAAAAAGGGTTCTCCACCCCTGCTCTATTAAATGTACAACAAGAAGAACTTGTTGCCAGTTTTTCTCTCACTTTCTTGTCCCACCCTCCCCTGGAGGAGCTGATCTCATTCTCCTGCCCTATAGCAATCACTACCTATGTATTCCTTTGATAACTTCAGTACTATGAATTAATGAGCCAGTTGATTTTCATGTGTGCCATTGTGTGTTAATGGTTCTTACTGCTGCCTTTGGCAAATGGAGACTTTAAAACTCGGAAGGAGCTTGGCATAGAGTTAGAAAGCTTGTCTGCATGTATGAATATTACAGTATAGTTCTTTGCAGGTTATCCTGGAAGACGTTGCGATGCTGCACATCAAACCAGATCAATTTACATATACCTCAGATCACTTTGAAACTATAATGAAATATGCTGAGAAGCTTATTCAAGAAGGGAAGGCGTACGTGGATGATACTCCTGCAGAACAAATGAAAATGGAGCGTGAGCAGAGAATAGAATCTAAACACAGAAATAACTGTAAGATGCTTTATGGCTCTTCTCCTGACCCTGTTATCTTTGTCAATGGAATATAATCTTTTCATTCTATTGTTAATCATCCCACCTATCTTTAGATTTAATTGTATACTGTGAATACTTAACAAGCCAGTAGGAACACTGAGGTCCTCAGCGCTGTGCCCTTCAAGATTAAAAGACACAAGACGCTTGTTGTTACACACCTGTTTATTACATCTATGTATGTTCACAATGCGTGTGTGCTGTACAGTCTTACTCTCACCTACCAGTGTGTGAGGAATACTGCACTGTTTGATATTGGATCTAAACACATGCAGCAATAACTCTGATGTTTGACAATGTCAGTAACAAAATATGGTGCTGGAAACTGGTCAGAAATACCTTAGGTAACTTAAAGTATTAAATTTTTTTGTTTGGTAGCTGTTGAGAAGAATCTACAAATGTGGGAAGAAATGAAAAAGGGAACAGAATGTGGACAAATGTGTTGTCTACGAGCAAAAATAGACATGAATAGTAACAATGGGTGTATGAGAGACCCAACCCTTTATCGTTGCAAAAACCAACCACACCCACGCACTGCAAGTAACTACAAGTACGTTCACTTTCTATTAATATTGACCTTGGTATGCTTCTTTTCTACTCTTCAGCAGGTTTCTTTTTTAACTACCTGGGAGTTGCTTGCATTTTCTCAACCAGAATGTGTAACTAATCTCCTTGTAGAAACGACACAACTTCTTCAGAAGATTTTTAAAACGTGAGCTCTTGCCAGCATTTCATAATAGTATCCACTGATGAAAATTCTATAACAGGTCCCTATTCTCATGTCTTTGTAAGGTGGGCCATAAAAAAATAAATAAATTCTCTCCACATGTGATGAGTACCATTTTTCTTAAGAAATCTTGGCAAACCATTTTGACTGCCTGTATTACAAGCAGCCAAACAATTGGATTTTGTTTTTACTTAAACTCTCAATTTAAAGAACTTTGAAGGTTAATCTTTAGCGTGAAGTGGTGTCCTTGACCTATTTAGCTGAGTGGCAACTGCGCGTTCATAGCAACTATTCTTTTCATGCACTATGAAGAGTTACTTCATGTGCATTGAATTAAGACTATTTGCAGAACACTATAGTTTATTCCACCTGTTTCCACCCGCTCTTTCCACTGCTATAGCTTCAACAGATGGGAAATGTTGACTTGATATGGACGTTGAACTAAAATGGTGGCTTTGGCTCTTGGTAGAAATGCATTTAAAACAGAGGCATGATGTACACACTTGTAATTGATAAATCACTGCCTCTGTTGTAGTAATCTCTGATTGTTGAAGTTTAAACTATGGCCTGAACATGGATATCTTTTTTTATGATACATATTGGTACGAGATGTAGGGGAAATGTAGGTGTTGAAATTTTTTTTTTTTTTTTTTTTAAATATTGAGGGATTGAATTATTTGATAGCTTTGCCTTTGCTTATAAAATGTCATTTAATATATTTTAATTTGTTTGGGTCTTTTTTTAATAGAAGAGCTCAGTATCAGATGTGCTGTTTTAACTAATTCTTGACGGAGTTCTGGTGACCATTTTAAGGATTTTTGAGTGATTATAAAATACGGAGTAGTATTTAATTTTATGGCTATGGTTTTCAGATGCAGTTAAACTATGTATATTCTTTTCCTGGCTTATTAATTTCAGCTCTTCTTTCTTTTTAGTGTTTATCCTACATATGACTTTGCCTGCCCCATTGTTGACAGTATTGAAGGTGTCACACATGCATTAAGAACAACAGAATACCATGACAGAGACGAGCAGTTCTACTGGATCATTGAAGCCTTGGGCATAAGGAAGCCATACATCTGGGAGTACAGTCGTCTAAACCTCAACAACACTGTGCTATCTAAAAGAAAGCTCACCTGGTTTGTCAATGAAGGGCTGGTAGATGGATGGTACGTTTGTATACATACAATTGCTGCTATAGCAGAAATACAATCACACATGTATGCTATTCCTAAAGGAAATCATAGAATGCATGCATCCACTTTTCTTTGGTTAAACAGATACTAACTTTTTTCACCTATAGCTTGCAGGTTCTCTTCTCTTAGTTTTCTTGGCACTTAAATGCCAAGTGTGTAGGCGTCTCAGAAATGTCTACAGCACATTTCCTCTTTTTTTTCAGTCTTCTATGAAGCAAGCCAAATGGGGGGAGGAGGGGAATTTTGTTAGGGTTTACAGTTAACCATCATGCTTGTGTTTCCAGGACAAGAAATATACTAGTATTGCCTTGCTCTGCTTCAGTTTCTACTGCTATAAAAAATTTTTTACCCCCGTAAAGCACACAGGTCAAAATTTTCAAAAAATGGGTACCTAAAGTTAGACTTCTTAATAGAGATTCAGACATTAAAATGCCCTGACTGAGAGAATGTTGAGCACCTTTTTACTTAGTGGGAAGTGCCGAGTCTTCCAAACTTGTTTATTTTAGAGAAGAGACAAATAAGACAGCGGAATAAAATAAATGCATAATGAATGGTACAAAGAAGGTAGATTGGGAACTTTTATTCCCCCTTTCCCATAGAAGTACAGGTGAGCATTCAGTGGACTTGCAAGGTAGCAAAACTGATAGAAGAAAATACTCTCAGCGTATGATTAGACCTGATCTTGTTGCCACAAGATATCTTTGAGCCTGAGAGGATAACAGGGTTGAAAAAAGGATTAAATAATTATATGGATAACAAGTATATTTAAATGAATAGTAAATAAAATAAAATAAACTAGCTTTGGAAAGAATAAACCCTCCAGTTTAAATGCATAAACTGTTAGGAGGTAATTTACCTCCTAATGATGGAGAGAGGAAACTTTTTTTTCCTGCGGGGGGGCGAGGGGGTGTCAGGTTATCCCATAACTACACACTGCAGGATTATGTCTTCTGATGCTAGCCACTGTTGGAGACTGGAGATTGAACTACATAGACATTGGTTTGCTGCTCAAGTACGGCAGTTTCTTTGTATTAACTTACAGATAAAAAGTGATATAGGAGGGCAAAATATTAATATAATATATTAAAACTGTAGTACCAGTTGGGTTGGTTCCATTGTTTCCGGTGCCCTTCCAAGCCTAGCACTGTTCAGACCTACGTATTTGAACTTAGGAAAGTGGGTGACAACAAAAGGATCTTAAATAAATCAGGGCTCAGATTGAGCTGGTGCATGACAATGTACTAGCACCTTTCCGAAGCTGGTATCTTGTTCTCCAGAATCTGTGAAGAAACAGTTTGTTTTTGGTGTTAACTGATGCAGAGATGTTTGAGTCTGCAGAGAGCCTGAGCAGTATCTGAGATCTGAATTGCCCCATTCATCTTGAGTATTTTGAACATCTACACAATATACTGTGAGCAGTGTCTCATTTGGTGACTCACATGGGCAGAATTTATTTTATGGGGGGAGTTTAGAGTACTACCAGCTTCCCCCCCCTCCCCCTTTTGAAACTTAAATAAGATACAGGAAGAAAGCTGGAAGTTCCAAACTTTGGCATAGGAGGGGCAAAGAATGGTTTTAGAGCCAAAGGGAAGGAGTGGGCAGGATAGCACATCTTACTCCCCAATACATAGTATTGACTTGCGATGGGGAGACGTAACTGGTACCTCTTCAATTCTTGATAGATACACCAAGGATTGAATGGATGTGGAAAAGAGCTCCTGTCACTAAGAGGTGGTTTCCCATCCCAAGTTAGTGTTCAGGAATGCTGGTACGTAGCAAGGGAAAGTCTGTATTAGAACTGTCCATAGATAGAGAAGTTTAGTCTCCTGGGCTGTCAGGCTAGCCTCTTTCACCCAGCACTAAATTCACACAAGCAAAATACAAAAGTTTGTTTTCTTGAAACTGTGATTTACACAGATATTAAAAAATCAGTACTTTATCGCCTGTTAACAGAATTAAATGCATAATAGTAGATACTGAATGAACCTCTCAGCTTTTTTCCTCTTTCTGCCAGGGATGATCCAAGATTTCCCACTGTGCGTGGTGTGCTGAGAAGAGGCATGACTGTTGAAGGACTAAAACAGTTTATTGCTGCACAGGTGAGTGTTGTCTTTCCCTTCTTCCTCTTATTCTTGGAGTCTGATTGTAAACTTGGAAACAAATGGTTCAACTGAAAGCTCACCATATTTATTGCCACTCTGCCAAGATTTTGTCCTTTTGAAGACTCATTCCTGTCATGGCTTAGGTCCCAGTCCTGCTTCCATATATGCATTTGAGCAGCCCCTTGTGTAAAATTGTATGGGTCTGCAAGATTTTGAGCTTGTAGTGTGTTGAACTTCCATTGATATCAATGGAAGTTTGGATCGAGATTGTGGCAGCAATGGGCCCTTAATGTTTATTTTGTAAGATGAGGATTAAGCTGAAAAATGCACATTGTTACTTTTGGTAAACATGCTTAGCATTTGTATTGTGATTCTACAGACATTAAGAATAATATTCAAGATTATTTGTTTGTTAATCTTGCCTTCCAGGGCTCCTCCCGATCTGTTGTCAACATGGAATGGGATAAAATTTGGTCATTTAACAAAAAGGTACATGCTTGTATTAGTTTGATGCCGTTTCTTCTTGGTATCCTCTTCCCTGAGTTATGTAGTGAATCCACTGTTCACTGGAGTGCTCATCATAAAGAGTAGCAATTTTTAAAATATATTGCATCATCTGGCACATTTTCAGGAAAATGGAATGTCTCCTCCTTCTAACATGGGCTAGCACATATTGACTTGCCAAACCAATATTGAGTTGTTTTACTTAGAACTATGCAGAAAGGTAATGATACTTTTTGTGAATCTGATCTGAAAACTCTGCATTTCATTTTTCTGCTTTCAAGCTGCGAGCTATCTGTAAGAAGGTATTACTTAATGCTTCTTTTGCCTTAGCACATGGCTTACAGTACCGTAAGCATACTTAGCATAAGCCATCGTTATGCAGCTTCATAGCACAATCACATTTGCTTAGGTAATAAGAGCTGCACAAATCCATTTAAAATGCATTATTCCTGTTTTTAAAATGCAGCCCAGTTCTGTTTTGACTTATTTGTCAAAATAGATGGGAACTCTATTCCAGTCAATTCATGTTGTCCAGTTTTCCTTTCTGGAGTGAAAGTACTGAGGGCTTGTGTATTTCCTGTGCTTGAATGAATATATATATATATTAGGTAGCCCTTTTTGATGTTTCGTAGCCGAGTGTCAAATAAGGAATACTGCATCTTAATATGGTTAGTTGCTTCTTGGCAGTGAATGCTTGGACACTATAATAAGGCGAATCATTAGAATGCTGGCTGTATAGCTTGTGTGAATGCCTGTAACTCTTGCATTGGGATTCCTGCTTGTTTTTGCTGAGGCCTTACTGCAGATCTCTTCATTTAAGTAGTATTTGCTTGTCTGGCATGTGTCTTGTATACCTTCCTACCTTTTGTATTTGGTCCATTTGGTGTTATATAAAGGATTATCAATTGGTTCTTTTTGTTGCTGCATAAATACTAATCACTTTTTTGAGTAGTGGATTTTAAAAATATGGGGAGTTGATAATATAATTAAAACAATTTTTTAATTAAGTGTCTTGAAACTCCTGCTCCTTGGGTAGCACCATATTTATCAGCCAAATTCTGTCATCCTCTATCTGTGCAGTTGCATTGGAGTCAATAATATAAACGAGGGCAGAAATTGTTCCTATACATTTCCCAGTTTGATATAAAAGATCTCTGCAGGCAGAGAGCTCTTATTATGCTGTTACATTGTAAAGACAGTCACCTGGGGAAGTATTGTACTGAATTATTAAAACAAAGGACATGGTTATAACAATGAAAACAAATTATAACCTTAATTGTAAAATTATGTGTATTAGTTATTAAATCATACAGTCGCATATAAGGCCTCTAGATGTTGAGATACCTTAACAAGCCATTTCCTATTACATCTGTCTGAAACACCTTAAGGGCTTGGCTTCCACATATACTGACTCACTGATAAATGTATGACTTCTGAATCCAAAGCACTTTCATACTTGCTAGTGCCGAGCAATTTGGGTATAAAATAGATTGACAAACTGTTTACTTGTAAAATTGCTGTTTAGTTGTGCATTCCTGTTGCAGTGAAAGGATAAACATAAAAATATTTACTTGCACTCATTCAGTTTAGCACCCAACTCACCTGCCAGTTAATCTACCACTGTTTCCTGCTAGCCCTCCACTGCCCCTTGTGTGTACTGTATTGTTCTAAGCACCTCCAAATGTTTTATGAAAGTAAGTTTTAAGAGATTCAAGAGGCCCTGTGAAAGGTGGTGCTAGGGGGGTGAAAATAGACTTTATAAAAAAAAAAATAGGGAGAGGCTGCGGTGGTAACTAGTTTGGCAAGAAGACATGATTGTGGGGAACCCACGAGTTTAATACTATGGTATTGCCTTATTATAGTGATCTAATGCTGCTGTATTAAAATGGTGTTTCTTAATATTATAGACCCAACTGGTACTCCTTACACAGGCAAAGCTATCTCTGAGTCTGTGAGAAATGAACATAGGATCAGGGTCTGTGGTAGCTAAAATACGGCATCCAATATGTTGTTTTAAAATGGATGTATCTAGAAAGAAAATGGTCCAGCAGGCAGATTTAGTAGTTCTATACAGAGTACAACTACACCAATATAGATCTACTGTCTTCCTTCCCAGTGAAGCATTGATTTGAGATCAGGTTTACTTGTAGTATGATAGTACCAGATTTGCAGCTTCTGTTTGCTATCAACAATTTTTGCCTGTTTAAATATAGACCTTTTTGTGGAAGGTCTGAAAAATTGCTTAAGGATTGCTCACTTTTGACTATATATTTTTTTGTTTGTCTTGCTTTTATAACTTTCAATGAAAGTAGCATTAAAAGGCAAACGAGTGCAGTAACACAAAGAATACCATTTAATAGTCCTATATTTTCACTTTACTTTGTTTCATGTAATGTTTTGCTCTGACACTGCCCAATAGTCACGATTATCTTCTTTCTATTTCCTGTAGGTCATAGACCCAGTGGCACCTCGGTATACTGCTTTACTGAAGGATGAAGTGGTCACTGTGAACGTTCCTGAAGCCCTAGATGAGATGAAAGAAGTGGCCAAACATCCAAAGGTTGTGCATGTATTTGTAGTCTTTTAATAACTACTGTATGGTACTGATCATGAAGACTGACGCTAGCCATAGATTAGAGCAATCAACCGGGACCCAGGAGGAGTGTCTAGTGTTACAATTTAGCACTAAAAATATGAGCTCAAGGTAGGGACTTTGACATCTCTGTGCTTTTCATACATTATAAGGCTAGAGGGGACCATTGTGATCTATTCTGACCTCCTGTATAATATTTCTCTGAATTAACTTCTGTTAGATCATATCTTCTAGAAAGAAAATCTAATTCAGTCTTAATTTAAAAATTGCTAATGGCGTGTCCACCAGGAGATGATCTAGACCATCCCTCGGCCCGCACCACTTCCTGCAGCCCCCATTGGCCTGGGATGGCGAACCGCGGCCAGTGGGAGCCGCAATTGGCCGAACCTGTGGACATGGCAGGTAAACAAACCAGCCTGGCCCGCTCTGCCAGGGTGCTTACCCTGGCGGGCTGCGTGCCAAACATTGCCGATCCCTGATCTAGACCAGGGGTGGGCAAACTACGGCCCGCGGTCCGGATCCAGCTTGCAGGATTGCCACCTCTGTGGCGCTGCAGGCCTCACGCCACTGCTGGAAGTGGCCAGCACCACGTCCCTGTGGCCCCTGGGTGAGGGGGAACAGAGGGCTCCGTGTGCTGCCCTCGCCTCCAGGCACCACCTCCCGCAGCTCCGATTGGCTGCAAACGGGGAACCGCAGCCAATGGGAGCTTCAGGGGAGGTACCTGCAGGGGAGGGCAGTGCCCGGAGCCCTCTGTTCCCCCTCCCCCAGGGGCCACAGGGACATGATGCTTCTGGGAGTGGCACGGCACGGGGCCAGGACAGGCAGGAAGCCTGTCTTAGCCCCACTGCCACCCCGGAGCCCGCACCCCGAACCCTTCCTGTACCCTGCACCCCAACCCCCTGCCCTGAGCCCCCTCATACATCCCGTACTCCCTCCCGCACCCCAGTCCCCTGCCCCAGCCCTACAGTCATGGCCCTGCAGGCAATTTCCCCACCCAGATGTGGCCCTCAGGCCAAAAAGTTTGCCCACCCCTGATCTAGACTCCTAAACTCATTTTGCTTGTGACCAAAGATGGAGCCAGATCTCAGGAGAAGAGAAATTGTTCGCTACCACATTTCATCTCCTCCTTATCTCTGTCCTTGCAGACTGCATGTCTTGGGAAAGGAAGGAGTAAAACTCTTGTTGACAGTATTGCAAAACCCAAACTCTAAAAAATCCTGACAGGCCCCAAAATATAAAGAGAGTGGATTAAAAATCGGGTGACCTTCTTTTTTTTTTTAGACTATATTGCATTTGAGTTATGTTGTTTGACTTTGGAGCTTTCAGGATACATTGGGGTTACTTTTTCAAGCTTTTCTTTGCAACCCCAGAGGTTAGAAACTCATTTTATTAATAAAAGCCAAGATTCTCCTGCAATCATATGACTCTGGGTGTTGGGGATTTAAGAAAAGCATGAAATATCGTGACTTGTGTAAAAGTGGCAACACTGCTCAGACCCATCCCTCCTTTAGCCCTATGGAGAGAACTTCTCCCTGTTCTAGTTATCATGATTCTCTTTTAATATGTGATATGTATTGTAATTCCTTTTCTGAATACACTCATATAGAGCAGTGTGTCAGGACTCAGCTCTGTTAGCTAAGCCAGTCAACTTATGATAACCAACTTTTAATTTTTCTTAATACACAGAATGCTGATGTTGGCTTGAAGCCTGTGTGGTACAGTTCCAAAGTGCTGATTGACGGTGCAGATGCAGAGACTTTGACTGAGGGAGAGACTGTTACATTCATTAATTGGGGCAACATTATCATCACTAAAATACACAGGTAACAAGTATAAGGTAGTTCCAAGTTAGAGGTTTCTGCACCTCAGTGTTTTATTGACAAGAATAGCTTTCTTGCATCTTGAAATACTAAAAAATAGCACAGATAATCGTTTTTAAATGGATCACAAAGCTGCCTGATTAATAAATAGTACATCTTACTGTAGTTCTGGGTCTGAAATGACCAGTGAGGTTAGATATTGCATAAAAATTCTTCTTATTCAATTTACTGAAGCACTTCTGTAGATGTTACCGGCTGTTAGTCCTTACAATAGGAAGTTAAAAAAAAAAAAGCCCAGGTCACCTTATAACAGCCTGCAAATCTGCTCTGTCACTGATACTTGGTATAAGAGCTCTTATCCTAAAAGTGAACATATGCTCTTGCAGATTGAAAAACAAAATCTGTTTGGCTATTTAAATTACAAGGTTGGCCCCCCCCCTCCAAAAAAAGGTGAAATTAGAATGTGATGTAACTAACTTCAAAATCGTTGTGCTGGAAGTTTAGAAAGATGGAAGGTTTATGGAAACATGTAAGGCTTTTTTCTATGCCTTGTACAACATTTTGCTATTTATTTTTAATAAATTAAAACAATGGAAATACTTCAGAAATGCTGCCTGTGTGGTGGTTTTTCCAAAGCTTTGACTACTTCTACGTATAACTTCTTGATCTATAGTATAGAGAGGTATTAAAAAGTATCCCAAGACTCTGCTTGATGGCAACAATATACCAATCACAGATGTAAATCTAAAGTACATCTATCCTAGTATAGAGAGAGACTTCATCTGCTTATCCCCTTTGCTATCTCTTCATAGCAAAGTACTGATTCAGAAGTTACCAGAATAATTAATTTGCTATTTTTTTCACATAAATCCTAATCTGATACAAAATATTTTACTTGGAATAAAAGTAAATTGGGGGGGTGGGGAACAGATTAGCCTTTTGAATACGGCCTGTAGTGATGATAAGAGAATGTTCTTTTCTAAGTCATTAATGTTTTCTCAGTTTTTTAATCAAGAGAGCCTTTCAGACTCACGTGAATAGTGCAGATTGATACCTAACAATGAGATTCTCTCCCATTTAGTTTCAGAGGAAAAGGCATTTTAAAAATAAATTGAAATGCATGATGACTGTAAATTCATCAGTCACATACTTGACCGCTAGTAAGGTTTTTTTAAAACAAAAATATCTTGTACGAGAATCTGTACTAGATCTTTTTTGTATCTGTTCCTGGAGAGTTCTGATGGCTAGTGAGTTACAGAACTCTGTCCTAGAAAATATATTCTTTCTAGTTCATGCACAATACATTCTAAGACTATTTTTTGTCATGAGCCTTTTTGATCAACAATTTCCATATTTTTGATATTGTCTTAAGAGAAATTCAAATATATACCATAATTGTTGTGTAAAAATGTGGTTTCATCACATTTTTCTGATTCTTCTGTAGAAACTCAAGCAGGAAAATTGTGTCCATTGATGCCAAGCTGAACATGGAGAACAAGGACTACAAAAAAACCACTAAAATCACTTGGCTTGCAGAGACCCCACATGCGCCTCTCATTCCAGCTGTCTGCGTTAACTATGACCATCTAATCACCAAACCTGTCCTAGGTAAAGATGAAGATTTCAAGCAATATGTCAACCGAAATAGTAAGGTAACTCATGTATTACCCTCTTCCTTTACACGGCTTTTGCTTACTTTTTCTCCTTACCATCAGCACCAGTTTTGGGTTTGTTTTTTTTTAAAGGTGTTCGGCTCTCTTTTCCCAAGTGTTCAAGTTGCATTTCAAAGCAGTTTGAGTAGTTCAACTTAAGCTAGATTCCATCTATCTATATGATAAATGTAGATATGCTCTTCTGGGCTATAAAAATGTCTGTGGGGTCAGATCTTCAGTGAAGGTAAGTCCATTTATGTTACCTGAGGATCTGGCTCATGGTTGGCATTTTGATATTGGTGAAGTCTTTACACGTTGCACTGTTTTGAAATAGATAAGCTTTTTATGTTGCACAACAAATTGGAAGTTAACGGAAGCTGCAACCTGATAGGAGATCAGTGTGTTTAGCAGAGGTTCATTGTCTAGTATAGTGGTTTTCAACCTCCCCGCCCCCTCCAGTTGCAGACCTCAAAAAAAATTTTGGCTGGAGGAACAGACCCTTTGGAAATCTTAGACATAGTCTGTGGACCCTCAGGGGTCCACAGACCACAAGTTGAAAACTACTGGTCTAGCAAACAGAATAAACCATTACAGTTGAAGTTGTATAGTTTTTAGGAAGACTTTGCTTCATTGGCTCTTTTGATAAAACTTGTTACGTTTTCTTTTTGTCACAGAAAGGGTTTATAGTTGCAGTCACTGGGTTTTGTATCTTGCTATCTCTGTGCAAGACACTTTAAACCAGTGGTTCTCAAAGTTTTGTACTTGTGACCCCTTTCACACAGAGAGCCTCTGAGTGCGACCCCCCCCTTATAAATGAAAAACACTTTTTAAATATATTTAACACCGTTATAAATGCTGGAGGCGAAGCGGGGTTCGGGGTAGAGGCTGACAGCTCGCAACCCCCCCACGTAAGAACCTTGCGACCCCCGAGGGGTCCTGACCCCCGTTTGAGAACCCCTGTTTTAAACTATGTGGCACTGTTCTGTGGAGTTTCTTCCAGTTGTCACTTTTTCTTCCAACCCTGTGTCCCTGGATGATACTATGGGATCTAAACTGAGGCTCTTCAGTAAGAGAGGGAATGCATAGACACTCTGAGTTGGGTCTGTTGATGACAGTAGCAGAAAAGTAATGTGTGAAGGAATGTTTTGAGACAGTATTTTGTTCACATTCTTATTGCATAGTTAACTGAATTTTTTTGTTTTCATGCTTCAGGAGAGAGGAAAAATCTGTAAATATATTCCAGTAATTGTTCCTATTTGTTTTTCTACCTCAAGAAGACTGAGATGTTTTGTTTTTGTTTTTAAATCATAAGAACTAAATACTGTATTAACTTTTCTCAGCATAACTTACACTGACTTCCCACCATACGTATGACTCTTCAGTCTGCTGGCACTGATGGTTTGGAAGCTCTCTTTCACCCTAGCATATTCTCAGGCTAGCACATCTCCTTGAGAGCATCTTATCCATTGGCATTGGGATTAATTGACACTTCAGCAGTTGTGAATTTGGAACATCTCTGGAATCCTTCAATGCAGCTACAATAATTGTTAGCATTATTTTAAACAATGCTCATAAGAAATGGTCTTAATTTGCTTTTAACTGTTACAGCAAGAAGAACTGATGTTAGGTGATCCTTGCCTTAAGGAGTTGAAAAAAGGAGACATTATACAACTTCAGAGAAGAGGATTTTTTATTTGCGATCAACCCTATGAACCAGTTAGGTAAGCAGCTTTGTAAATAAACTCCATATATAGTCTAAGAATTACCATTATAGATCTATAACATCTGTTTCAATGCATTTTTGTTCTTAATATATTCAGACACAAATATTGAAGTCCCTAAGGAAGAAATTAATTTTTTTTCTTGACCAGCAAAAATAAAAAACATTCTAATATACACACAAATTTCTATATCTTGCATTGTGCTAGGTATAACAGTTGCACAGCTATGGCACTATATACAAATGTTAAATATAGTTTAAAAAAAAATCTTAATGTCATTTTAGGCCTGTGTTTATGTTAAGCCTTCATGTATACGCACACGGTCATCCAGGTGACATTTTCTATGAGCACAAGGAAACTCTGAAATAATGAGGGAGTCAGTTTTCCTTGTATTCATTATGAATATGTAAATCAAGAATCCCAGAGATGGAATAAAATAGGTGATTGCCTGATTAGAGAAAAGCATGTTTATATTAGGTATATACCTAATTGAGTGAAACACTGAATAGTTTTTCATCATCAGTGTATATAAGATTCCTTTACAATCCCATCCACTATCAAACACTTGATTTGTTTCCCATCTACAGAATATGCTGGCTGCAAAACCTAAAGGTCTTTAGAATGCGCTGTAAAAAAATCCAGATGGCCAAATCTGGATTTTTATGCAGAAGAGATGAGAAAGCTGCATTCAGCTGCTATTTCAACTAAATGAGATGAGAATTAGAGCCCGGAAGAGAGGGCGCTGTGAGATGGAGAAATTGTGAGAGAAATAAGCATCCATTACAGTACACTGATCAATACAGAATGTGAACTGACAACATTAAGTAGTTGCAATCAGAAATGCCATTGCTTTTGCAATAGAGTGTTTAATGAGAGTGTAGGTTGAGAAGTGGTTTTGAATATCTTTCTCTTTCCCCCCCTCACTTTTCCCCCCCAAACAAGTGTTTGGTAGGCCTGCTGCTTGTAGTCTTTCCTATTGTCGCAGTGGCCCTAGTGTATAATGATAGTGTATAAAACATCCGTTCTTTTAATCTCTTTCTGTAGCCCATACAGCTGTAAAGAAGCCCCATGCGTTTTGATTTATATCCCTGATGGGCACACAAAGGAAATGCCAACATCTGGCTCAAAAGAGAAGACGAAAGCAGAAACTGCAAAGAAAGAGGTAAATAAGGCTTTTAGGAAAGGCTTTCATAAATAACATTACTATTAAAAATTTTTTTAAAGGAAACACTGAGAACTTGCTTCTGTTTTCAAAGGCTAGTTCAACTTCAAAGGGAAAGTCTGTTCCACTTGTTGCTGATACCTGTATTCCAGCCTCTGCTCCATCTGAGGACCCCCTGGTCTTTTACAACAGAGTGTCTGCTCAGGGTGATGTAGTTCGTGATTTGAAAGGTAAAAAGGCTGCAAAGGAAGATATTGACACAGCTGTGAAACAGCTATTGGCCTTGAAGGTGGAATACAAGGAGAAGACAGGCCAGGAGTATAAGCCTGGAAATCCTCCTGCAGCAGCTGTAGCAGTACCAAATGTTTCTTCGACACCTCAGACCTCCAGCAATCTGGACAGCAAAGCTCTTTATCATAAAGTAGCTGAGCAAGGGGAGGTGGTCAGAAAACTGAAAGCTGAGAAAGCCTCTAAGGTAAGGTTGTTGGGTTTTTTTGTTTTTTTTTAAGAAACTAGTTAAGAGACCAGTATTTCATGAATATTTGTGTAGTTTAATGTGCTTTCCCAGGATGTAAGTGGACGTATGTTTTCCTCCCTTGCTTTCATTAAGTTCACTTGGGTTGGGTTTCTCTAAGACCTTTCTTCTCAAGTGTTGTTCTCCAAGTAGCACTGATATGATTAATTCTGTCTCAATGATATTTATGAGGAATGTTAATTAGGTCCCTTTAGATGTGAGCAGAACTGTTACATTTTCCAGATTTTTGTTCTTCTCAGAAACTGGCCCAAACAAGGCTTCCCACCCAAACCAAATACGGAATGTCAAACTGGTCCCTGGCAAAAGTTTTCAATCATAGTCTGTTTCTCTTTTTCTCCACAACATTTTTCAAAAGAAGTGATTGAATTAGGTCAACCATTTGGAATCTAACAGTTCAAGAAGGAGTTTCCCTGCTTAAAATTGTTCATAAATAAATAAATGTAAAAATTGTCAAGTACTTGCTGATTTTCTCTCTTGACTGCAGTTTTTGGTGAGTATATGGAACTATTTTGAACAACAGCAAATGCGGTTAACAAAAAGAAAACTTTTGACATTTCCTGCTTAATGATTAAATATTTTGGCAATTAGGCTTTCTTTGTGGCATTACAGAATCTGAATGAAGGCATATATCTACATATTGTAGCTTTAGTGGTACTGTATTGTAGCGGACTGTTGCAAATGTACAAAGCAAAGTATTTCTAATAGGCATTCGTTTGCCTAGCATAGTGGAGCTCTGGTCCATGACTGGGGTTCCTAAGTTCTACAACAATACAAATAAATAATATCTGAGGGTTTACTTTCAAAGGTAGATGTTTTCTTTACCAGATCTACTCAAGTTGTGGTGAACTAATAGTAATAAATAGCCTATGAATATACAATACCCAAGGTTTTGTAAACTTGGTATTACTTTTTATAAAAAAGGATCTGTTTGTTCAGTACAACTTACCTTATTCTTTCTGTCTTTCTACAACTTTCTTTTTCCCCCTTTCTCTTCCTGCTTCAGGATCAGATAGGTGCTGCTGTGAAAGTGCTTCTAACGCTAAAAGCAGACTATAAACAACAGACAGGCCAGGAATACCAACCTGGAAACCCACCTGTTGTGCTCATTCCTTCTCCTGTTCCTACTTGTCCAATAGACAGCAAATTTCTATACAGTAAAGTAGCTGAACAAGGCGAAGTGGTTCGCAGACTTAAATCAGAGAAAGCTTCAAAGGTATAATGACACTGAATACTTAAAGGCTTATTAATGGAAAGAGAGACGTTCAACTTAGTTTAAGCCCACTGTAGGTTTTGTAAAACTTGCTTCTGTTCCCATTAGGTTCTGTATTTTTATTATTATTTTTTTTTATTTCAATTAGGTTATCTTTAATTCTCCTAAATTGTTTTATTTGGCTTCACAACAGTCTTGTGCTAGTGCATGAGAACCAGAAAGGGAAACTAACCAGATCATTTTTATTGTGCAAGCTGAATGAACTACATAGACATAAATGATGAAAAGCAAGCTGTAGCTTTTCAACTAATCTAGAGTGGGGTGAATAACAGAAATTTGTTAGTTATTTTTTTGACAGTCCCCATTTAATATTTTTCAATTCATAATCTAACCTACTTGACACCCAATCCTGCAATGTACTGAACGTGGTTGGACTGCTGTGCCCACCTGGGGCCAAGTTGACTTCACTGGGGAGCCATGAATGTGTGAATGCTGTATGATTGGATCCTTGGTGCAGGGCTGGCTCCAGGGTTTTGGCCGCCCCAAGCAGCCAAACAAAAAAACCCAAAAACAAAAAATCCGCGATCGCGATCTGCGGCGGCAATTCGGTAGGAGGTCCTTTGCTCCGAGCGGGAGTGAGGGACCATCCGCCGAATTGCCGCCGAACAGCTGGACATGCCGCCCCTCTCCGAAGTGGCCGCCCCAAGCACCTTCTTGGTAAGCTGGTGCCTGGAGCCGGCCCTGCCTTGGTGTGTGACTTGTTGCAGTAGGTCTGACAAACAAAGTAAAATTACAAAGAGCTCATTTTTGGCCAAATCCTACTCCTCTTATTAAAGACTTGTTCGTTCCTGGGATCTGCTTGCGAGAGTCAGGCAAACAGAATTTGGCCCTAAGGTAGTGCATTACAGCAGTTATTGTAGTGCAGGGGTTCTCAGACTGGGGGTCGGGACCCCTCTGGGGGTCAAGAGGTTATTACATGGGGGGGTCAGCCTCCACCCCAAACCCTGCTTTGCCTCCAGCATTTGTAATGGTGTTTAAATATATTAAAAAGTGTTTAATTGATAAGAGGCGGGGAGGTGGTGTCGCACTCAGAGGCTTGCTATGTGAAAGGGGTCACCAGTACAAGTTTGAGAACCACTGTTGTAGTTCTACTTTAGTTAAGATTGTGTTATCTTTTCCATTATTTTTTTTCTACCTTTACATATATCTTGTATTCTCTTCTTGCTTCAGGATCAAATAGATGCTGCTGTGAAAGTGCTTTTAACACTAAAGGCAGAATATAAACAAAAGACCGGTCAAGAATACAAACCTGGAAATCCACCTACAGCTCCTCCTTTTACATACTCTTCTGCTGCTACTCTTCCTTCTCCTGTATCCTGCAATAATTTGACACCCTCTAGCTCAATAGACAGCAAAACTCTTTATGATAATGTAGCAGAACAAGGGGAGGTGGTTCGCAGACTCAAAGCAGAGAAAGCTTCAAAGGTATAATAGTGGTAAATATAGAGTTTCTTCAGTTTTAACTCTTCCACATTTTACCACTGGGTGGAAGTCTTCTACCAAGTAACCCTGAACTAATTCTCCTAAATTATTGTTCTGCCTCTGGCAGCTAAACCACCAATCCTGTATTCAATCCAGTGAAGTATTTCTGTATCTCTGAAGAGGTTTGGATTTCTGACTCCTGAGACATGCAGTTCTGAAATTCTTCTCTTAGCATCACAGTCCCACTATTTGTGAAAAGTCGGTCTGGCAGGTAGACCGAGGAATCTGTACGACCAGGATGGAATTTGAGCACTGTTAATTTTAAAACAGTGTAATGTGGTGTGGGAGAACAGAAGTGCCTGTTAGTTCAAACTACCAAAGTAACGAGGCTTTCCCCAGCCACAGAGTGAATTTAGAAGGAAAATCTGTTTCCTTGAGTTATAGCACCAAGAAGAAGCAAGAGAGAAGCATTAATCTGCTCTCAGAAGCCGCTAAATGCCCTCCTTGATCTTCTATTTCCCTCTGAAGGAGGAAAGGCTTTTTCACATTCTTCAATGTTCTGCTATAACCCTTGTTAACAAGATCAGAGAGCTCCATTCTGCTTCAATCCTGGTAGCACTCAACACTGTGTGATGGCTGTTCTTTTCATTCTCTAACCACCACACACCTGTTGCTTATGGCCAGATACAGATTGGACTCTGCTGCCTGCCCAGTTTTATTTGTTGTCTTTTCATGGTAGAGAAAAAAGCTTTTTCTTAACCTACTTTTGAATCCTCTCCGGTGACCATTGAATTTTTTTTGTCTTTCCCCTTAGGATAAAGTAGATGAAGCAGTGAAACTCCTCCTTTCTCTGAAAGCAGAGTATAAAGAAAAGACTGGGCAGGACTACAAGCCAGGACACGTGCCAGCAACTCAGATATCTACTTACCCCAAACAACAAGCACAGAAATCAATGGCCCAGACACACCAGAAGCTAAAGCTCTGTTTAACAAGGTGGCTTGTCAAGGAGAAGAGGTCCGTAAACTAAAAGCAGGAAAAGCAGAAAAGGTAAACTTTTTAAAAACACAACTTCCTTAAAAATAATCTTAGAAGACCTCTCAGTTGATGTTAGCGCAGGGCTAGTGATGTGTGCATGGGGAGATGTCAGTCACGCTGGGGCTGGGAGTGCGAGCAAATGACTGTCCCTCTTGCTCGCTATTCAGCACGTCTGGCGTGGAGGGGCAGGGCTTCCAGGTGTTTCTGAGGAGGTAGGTGTGGGGCGGGCTTTGTCCCCTCGGGCAGAGCAGAATGTAGCGGCCTGCCTGCTTAGTGGATTGTTCCCATTGTTCTTAGTGGATTTCCCCCCAAGAGTGTAAAAGTAAAACAGGTGTAAAAGTGGCTCCTTTACATTGCCAGAGTGGTATAAAGGAGCCTTATTGTAAATGACAATATGGCCTTTATGGTACTTTAGTGATTTGAACTGGTCTAAATTTTGGACTGAAAAATACTCTTATCAAAATGTACTCCATGAGCTGTTTACTACTGACCTTTCTGGAGATGGTCAGTAGCCAATATAAATTGTGAGTTTGATTCCCTAGCCCTCACTTGCTCTTCAGTTGCCTATGATGTAATACTGAGCATATGGCTGCATATATTTGTTGACTAATAACTAGAAATAAAGCATCAAACCTAGCTACATTACTATTAGACAAAGGAGGTTTGGGGATTTTTTCCAGTGCTCCCCACTCCCATTCTCCATCCATTGTATTGTAGTTTAAACAAATTACCAAAATAATTGAAACTGGTGTGATTATGTTGCGTTATTTTGACAAATAAAAAAAGGAGAATTTTAAAAATATTGTATACAGAATTTAATTTTTTGTCGCAGAATTTCCCCAGGAGTAGAAGATGTAGCAGATATGTGTGTATATATAGAACATCTGTAGGTCCATTTACTCCTGTGATTCATATTGATTTCTCTTTATTTGCTTGTTCTTCCATGGGAATGACTTCAAATCAAAGGATAAAATAGATACAGCAGTGCAGGAACTGCTTCAACTGAAGGCCCAGTACAAGTCTCTTGCAGGAGTAGACTATAAACCTGTCTCTGCCACTGGTGTTGAGGATAAAGATAAGAAAAAAAAAGAGAAGGAGAACAAGTCTGAAAAGCAGAATAAGCAACAAAAACAGAGTGATACTCAGAAGAAAGAATATCAGAAAGACCAAGGTGGTAATGGCCTCTCCTCAGACGGTTCAGGAGAAGGTCAAGGGCCTAAGAAACAGACCAGGTAAAGAAATTAGCGATCCATCTGCAGGAAATCTAAATTGGGAGGGCTGAACAGAGCTAAATCAAGAGCAATATTTTTAAATTTTTAGTATTGGTAGTGTGGGAATATACAAAAAAGAAATGATGCCACATTCCATTAATTCTTTTAATCATGTTCATTTCTAATTTATAGTTAATACAAGGAGGGAGTAAAATCCTTGTACTGTAAATTGCATACTATAAAATAAGCATAATACACTCTTGTTTTCATTACAAATATTGCATATCATTGGCAGAGATGGTGGAGAATCAGAGAAACTATGCAAGAAAACTGGATTCTGCAGTCTTAAACCTGATCTGAGCACCTAATACATGATCTACTGTCATTGACTTTTCTAGGAGTTGATGGAGCTCAGCTTCTTGCAAGATCTTGCCATTATTGCTAGTATGGTTTATTTTGGTTGAGGTGGTAGGATTAATACTTCATTTGAAATAAAACTAATATTTTTTCTGAGGCAAAAAGCCTTCAGAAAGCAAGCAAGCAAGTTACCTTAACAGCGTCACAAAACTCTCTAGCCAAACAATAGCATTAGTGGAGCTATGAAACTTAGGGTTTAAAAAAAACAAACTTAGGTGTCTGGATCAGCCTTATGCTCTAATCAGGGTTTTATTTGGAAGTTTTAATTTCACAGCTTGATGCATCGAGGCATGTAACTGTGCTGCAGGGAGGGATCTAAACAGGAACAGCTGAGATTTGTATGAATGCTCCTCTTGTCCTGTTAGAGAGGGAGCATCGTGATCTGAAACAAGTTAAATTTGGGAGGGGTAGGGTTTGGAAGGATGGGGTAAAAAGGGTGTTTGCAGATCACTGAAATACCGTATATACTCGTTCATAGGCTGAATATTCTTGGTAAAAAAGTGACGCATCAAAGAGCGGGGTCGGCTTATAAAAGGGTCTAAACCAAAATTTGATGATTTTAAACTCTATGGAATCATTGAATTGAATATCTAATACATTGTCGTTTAGTTTACCTGGAGCTCCCATTGGCTGGGAATGGCAAACCGCGGACACTGGGAGCTGAGGGGCTCCATGCCTGCAGATGCTCCAAGTAAACAAAACGTCCCGACCCGTCAGTGGCTTACCCTGACAGGCTGGGAGCCAAAGTTTTCCAACCCCTGAAATATAAGGTTGGCTTATGAAAGGGTCATACAGTTTTTGCTGTTTTTACCTAACCATCTTGGGGGGGTCCTTATAAACGAACGGGCTAATGAATGTGTATATACGGTAAATATGCTTTAACATTTAACAAAAGATTTTTTAATTACATTAAAAGGGACTCTTTCCCCCCCAAAAACATTAAAGCATGCAGCTTTATTGCTACCTTCACCACTTGGCAGTGACCTAAACTACAGGGTTCTATTCTTTTAAAATTCCATAGGCTCGGTCTAGAAGCTAAAAAAGAAGAAAATCTTTCTGATTGGTTTTCTCAGGTAAGTGTGCATCACTTTGAATTAAAGAGTTGTTTCACTTCACATATTTCACAGAACTACGGATTTTTTTTTTTGGCCACTCCTTTATTTTTTTTTGTAATATAACTCCTGTTCCTTAAGTTGCTACCAGCATTTTTCTTTAATTTCTGGACATCTGTTTCCAAGTGCTGTGTAAATTTGTGAAGCTGTATAAGTTATATAATGGTCACCTGTTTAAAAAAACAAACCTTTATTGAATACGTTCTGGCAGTGAAACACTAAGGATCTTGGTAAGTATTTGATGGGTGTTAGTTAGAAGTCTGAGTTTAGCTCAGGATGGTTTGTAACCAAAAGTTACTAGCATTTTTTATGGGTGGTCAGTGCGAAATGAGTTTGACCTTACTACTGTGCTTCAGGTAGTCCTGGCAGGGCAGCGTTTGACGGACACTGGTGGGGCATGGAGGGAAGCTTACAGTACCGGATTTCTGGATAAATAGACTGTCTCCGCCACTGTCAAACTGGCACGTTTCACCAACACTGACATTTGCCACGATTAATGAATAATGTGTTTGGTGGCCTTTTGTAGTGAGTGAAGAACACTGATCATTAAAATGGCCTATGCCTGTTCTATCTTAGGGTGAGGAAGCGATTGACCACCTGCATTCCCTCATTAAGATCTAAGGATCCCTTACGTTTCCCACCTTATTACTCACCTTCAAGGTCCTGCGTCGACACTCTTTATCTTTTTGGATAAAGGAACTGTATCAAAATCCTTGCAGAACCAATTATTACCATTCCATAATTGGTTATAGAGGTTATCTGTAAGTGATGCCAGAAAATATGCACTTTTCCCCGTAGTATCTGAGCCTCTACCTTTTCTGCACCAACCCCTCTGTTTCTTGGGAGGAAATTGTTAAATATAATTGTTAAATCTTTGCTTACAAGCTCTCTTTAGCTTTTTTGGTTTTAAATTACAGCCATTTTAAACTGCTGATTGATCAACTTATTGTGAGCGGGGTCGTTAGGTTTGAATTATTGTAGTGCTTTTTTGTGCATGCAAATACAACTTTAATATCTTAAAAAATCTTGACAGGTGATCACAAAATCAGAGATGATTGAATACTACGATGTGAGTGGCTGCTACATTCTTCGTCCATGGACTTTTTTCATTTGGGAAACCATCAAGGATTTTTTCGATGGTGAGATCAAGAAACTTGGTGTAGAAAACTGCTACTTTCCCATGTTTGTGTCCCAGGCTGCTCTGGAGAAAGAGAAGACTCATATTGCTGACTTTGCCCCTGAGGTACACATCAGAATTCTGTTTACTTCACTCATGTACTACAGCTAACTTTAGCTAAACTGTTTCTTTTTAAAAACTAAGGACAGTGCTCAGATAGATGATGTAAGCAGATATTTTTATATTCTTACAACCAGAAGCTGTGCAAACAGCTGCTGCTCCTAGTCCAGTAGGCAATGATGTCAAATATAAAACAGTTAAAAGTTTGTAAGCCCTTTTTTGATATTGTTTTTGGAGGGGGCTTGGAGGTCTACTTTCCATTATGAAGAAGGGGTGGAAAGGAATCTATGCAGGTGTCTGTCAGTTCTTGTTGGAACGATTATTTCAATACTGCTTCTATATTGTGTAATTAATGAAGGTGGTAGGGAACCTAGAGCTTTAAGATCTATTTTTATTTTGAATCAAAATAAATCAAGTTGAAGGAAACTTAATATTTTAAATGTTTAGGTTGCTTGGGTTACGAGATCTGGTAAAACAGAGCTGGCTGAACCAATTGCTGTACGTCCTACAAGTGAAACAGGTAAGAAACAAACTTGCAAGTAATCAGCAGTTTCAGAATGAGTAACTGATACAGCAGAATCCTGTTGTGGTTTTGAGACCAGTTGGTGGTCTAGTAGATAGGACACTATGGTTGAACATTGGAAAAATCTTACAGGAAAAATTTTTAATTTTTCATCACAACTTGAAACATTTCTAAATTTTTCCAATAAACTAGCTATAAGAAGTTTCATTTACACACAAATTGCAAATTATTTAAAGTTTTCTTATTTAATACTTTAGAAGACTCTTTGACTGGAATTTTCTTTAATATTTTGAAGTTTTGGGGATGAAAGGTTTTTATTCAATTTTGCTTTTAAGAAAAGTCATTTTCATTGTTCATGTTGTATTTTACCTTGTGAACCTTTTTTTCATTAATATTCAGATTGTAAAGTCATTAAATATAACTAAGATACAAAAGTGGAGCAACTCATAGTTAAATCAGATACAGTATACTAAATTGTAACATGATTGTGTGCTATCATGAAAATTTCTTAATTAGCTGATTGTGTGTATGTATGAATCTAGATGCATCTAGATGTTCTATTTTTAATGAAAGACAGTTTTCATATTATTAAATCATTAACTGCATGTAAAAAGTAGCTAGGTTTCCACTTCGCCTTCATAAAGAGTCACTAAAGTAGATGTGTTTTGAGTTCTGAGGTAAGTGTGAAACCACTTCGCTTCAGACCAGCAGCAAGCCACATATTACCTGAGGAGTTGGAGCGAAGCAAAAATATTCCTTTCATTAAGGTTGTGTGTCCACTGCAGAATTTCACTTGAGTGGGACAGAAGATGTGAAAAGTGAAATCCTCACAATGGAGCACAAAGAATGTATATTATAGTTCAGACTTGTTCCTCAGATAATTAAAAATATTTTTTTTTGTTCTTTTCTTTTGCAGTAATGTATCCTGCCTTTGCAAAGTGGGTGCAGTCACATAGAGATCTTCCTATCAAGCTTAATCAGTGGTGCAACGTAGTGGTAGGTGCATTTAGTCAACCATTTATTTTTTAAAAGTGAAGCACATCGCAAGGAATTTGGTATGCTTGATTTTTTTCTAAATTTATTAGGACAATCGTTCCATAAGAGATT